AATGATCAAACTCATATATATGAAACATTCAAACTCATCCAATAATAATAATAATAATAATAATAATAATAATAATAATAATAATAAAAGATATATGATTACGTTAAGCATACGTAGGCTGCGTTTGAATTAGCACCCTACCTATTTCAATGATTTGATCTTAAGTCATTGTTTACCACACCTCAACACTTTAATAAACTAATTAATACAACTTTTTTCTCTTCTAATAATATAAATAACAAAATAAAATTCAAACAACTAAGATGGTTTATTATTGTAACTAGTGGCCCGTGCATTGGAGAAGATATTTATAGGTGTGTAGAAACCTAAAAATGTCTCCCTAAAACCAAACCCGATGATGAACAATCTCTCACCGCCATTATTGGTAGGGTTGAGTATTTAATCTTTGGAGTGCTTAAATCCAATACATGTCATAAACCAATCCATTTCCTAGCACATTTCCCTAAACCATAACTTGTTTTCACTACTAGAAAACAGACAAATAACAACGGAAAAATTTCGTCGGAAACACTCTGGTTTCCGACGGAATTCCGTCAGAACTAGTTGTCGAAAAACATTTTGTAGGAAAAACACTATTCCGACGGATTCAGTCCGCCGTAAAAATTTTCAGGCCCCGTAGCAAGTTTCTGATGGACTGAGTTCTGTCGGTATGTTGCGACGGAAATTCCGTCGAAAAATTATTTTTTTAAAAAAAAAAAAAAACACCTCCCACCTCCCCACCACCAGCCCACATCACCTGCAACCACCCCGCACCACCAGACCCCACTGCACACCGACACCAACCAACACCCACAGTAGCCCCTTTCCTACCTTCAAACATTACCACCAACACCCATAGCAGCCCCTTTCCCACCATCAAACACCACCATCAACACCACCGACACCCACACCAGCCACTAATCCACCTTCAAACACCGCCACCGACACCCACCCTAGCCCCTTCCCTCCTTTAAACAACACCACTCCAAAAATAAACCCCAAAAAACACAAAAATTAGCAAAAAAAAAAACCGAAAATAACCCATAATCGAAAATCAACCCAAAAATACGAAAAATTGAGACAATAAAATCAAAAAAACATCTCACAAATAAATCAAAACCAATAGATCTACAAATTTAGCAAGAATTTCATAAAAAAAAATTTAAAAAAATGATAATTAAACCACAAAAATGAAAGAAAATATATAATTATAAAATCATCTAATAAAATTTATAAATTAACATTACAATTTCATAAAAAAAATAACTAGATCTATGCGCATGTACATGGTCGTCGTTCTTGTTTTGGTCGTCGTAGTTGTTGTGGTCGCCGGTGTTGTTGTGGTCGCCGGTATTCTTGTAGTCTTCGTTGTTGTTGCTTGGTGTTTATGGTGTTGTTGTTGCTGGTGGTGGTAGGGGGTGAAAGAGGAGAGAAAAGGAGGAGGAAAGAGAAGCCCGGATGGAGTCACGGAGGGGATGAGGAGAGAGAAAGAGAAGAAAGGAAAGGAGAAGGACTAAGGAGAGAGAAAGAAGAGGAAAGAGAGGAAAGGAGGAGAGAAGGGGCGGACGGAGGAGAGAGAAAGAGAAGAACGGAAAGGAAGGGGGATGAGGAGAGAGAAAGAGAGGAAAGAGAAGTGAGGGAAAAAGAAAAGGGGCGGATTGAAAGGATTAGGGTTAGGTAGTAAATTTTTATTTTTTTTCCTTTTTTTTAATTACATGTTCCGGCGGATTTTTCCGTCAAAAATTTCTGACGAAATATTTTTCCGTCGGAAATGACCTTTCGCGACGGAATATTCTGCCGGAACGTCCAATTATTCCGACGGATTTATTTTCCGTCGGAAATTTCCGACGGAATTTTTAAATTCGTCGGAATTATCGATTTTTCCGACAGATTTTCAGGTCCGTCGGAACCGGTCCATTGTTATTTGACCTAATTCTTGTAATGTTTCCACTTTTCGTGTCCACATAGCAAAACCGAGAGAAATTGATTTTTTTGGTCTTATAATTTTTATCCAATTGTTATTTGGTTGGATAGGCCTTGAAATAAGTTTTCAAACCATATATCATAAGCCCACTTCCGATTTAAAACAAAGAAGATATGAGCCAAACACTAAATTCGGCCCAAAACCGACACCCTTCTACTAAAACGGCCTTATATTATAATATACAAATTATTTTGACCTAATTTTAATTGTATTGGAAAGAAGACTTTATAAGATTTCCAATGATATATTATATGCCTTATTCCGAATTACGGATCAAAAGTTATGATGATTTTAAAAACGTGTAAAAAACTGGAATTACCACGCACAGTGTGAAAGCACCGTGTCACGGAGCCTGATGACGTGGCACGGTGCCTGGCGCCGTGACACGGTAATTTACAATGTGTCACGGTGTTTTTTTTTTTCAATTTTTTAATCCACCGTGTCACGGCAAATATTGCCGCGCCACGGGATTTTGCACCGTGTAACAGTACAATTTCCCGTGTCACAGTGCCCATTCCGTGACACGGGGCTATTCCGTGTAATTTTTGCGGACTTTTTTTTACCGTGGTCCGATGTACTATACCGTGCCACGGTGGACACTGCCGTGTCACTGAAGTTTCTCGTGTCTTCCGCGTAAACCCTGCATGCGTTTTTACTCCCATAGGTCAAATATTTCCCGCTTCACTCCAGAGTATGTCGCGTCACACAAGAGTTTTCCGTGTCACGACACATTTTTCCGTGTTGCGGAAATTTTGACCGTGTCGCGGTAACCTTTTTTATCTTGTTAGGATTCCGTGTGTTCCCTCTACTCATTTTTCCTATAAATACTCCCTCCTTTCTACAGTTCGGGGCATTAAATCCTGCTCTCTTTCTCTCTTTTACACCAAAAATCATTATCTTCTATCTCTCTCTTTCATATTCTAAGCCTTAAACCTATATTCTTAATTACACCATTCTTCCCTTAAACACTCCAAGGAGTCCATACTTAACCCGAGGTTCTGTCCTTAAACCAAGGTGTGAAATGTATAATTAACTGAGGGTTTGGACCAAATCAAATCAACATTTATTTAATTTAATTTTCATTTAATTTATATTTTTTTATTGAAGTTACTAATAATTTATTCCTGATGTAGCAATTTAAAGGAACTCGCGGAATGTGACTAATTAATTAATTTAATTACTCTTATTTTATTTTTATATTGCTTGTATCATGATTAGGTTATTTTATTATTTGATTTGACTAACGCTATTATTGTTAAATTGCTTCCAATATTAATGTTTATTCTATAATTATTATGATCACCATATTGCATATTTGAAGGGAATATGTAATTGAAAATCACGCCTAATAAGATAATTTGGATGACCGGTTTAGGTTCCTTTTTAATTTTGTTTTATAATAAAGTGATCACTAATATATTAAAATTATGTGCTGCATTAATATTCAACCAATTTAACATAATAATAGTTTGGAGCGAATTGAATATTTTGTTTGCATGCCTTTGAGATCGCAGGAATCATTTTTCACTATAAGAATCGAGTAGAGGCCAATACGGGCGAATGTGACTCCTGACTCACTTCGTACAATCATCCCCGATCCTCCTTTCGTGGTCCCGAACCATATGGAGTTAGTAATCTCATGGATTATGAATGGGGTGTAACCTTCACGGGTCAATCTTTGTTGTCTTTCGTTGTCCCTTAGTCGTGGTTGTCTTAAATGATCCTTGAACGGTTTACAAGTTCCTTAAAAAACTTGTTGGCGGCTCCCTACTTTCCTTGTCCCTAATCGTATTATGTCAATATAATTCTCACTTCCTATAAGTGCCAAGCATATTCACCACATGTTTTAAAGTAGGCACACTTCAAACACGCCTACAAGGTGTATAGTATAAATTTTTATTTTATAATATATTTTAATTGAAAAATGAATAATTTATAGAGGATAAGAAAGGTGAAAAATGAATGTAATTGTAGAAGATATTTATTTGGAGGAAAGTGATTCAATAACATTCATACATGTATTGAATTAAAGCTAGTTTTTTGTTTTTTTTTTTTAATACTAAGGGCCTGTTCTCATTGACTGAACTCAGCTGAAATGAACTGAACTGGACTTAATTGAGCTGAACTAAACTGAACTGAACTGAACTGAGATGAACTGAACTGAACTGAACTGAATATTTTATAAGAGAAGGAAATCAGGTGCTGAACTGAACTGAATTGAGCCGAACTGAACTGAATTGAACTAAACTGACTGAAATGAGCTCAACTGAACTGAACTGAACTAAACTGAACTGAAATGAACTGAATTTCAACGTAAGAGAAGAGGCCCTAAGTATAGATATAGATTATATTACTTTAATACTACAAAGTAACATTTAATTTTAAAAGTCCATAATTATGGCGCTTTCTAGTAGTACTAAACTTACAGTTTTAATGAATTGAACCAAAACAGCCGAACTCAAATTAAATGAACTAAAAAGATCATAAATGAACTATTAATTATCTATAATCTATACTTAGTATTTAAAAACTCTAATCATGATACACACATGTCCTCATCCTATGTTCACTTCTCCAATCCAATATGCCAAGTGTACACTATTGCCATCCAATATGCCAAATCCAACATGCCAAGTGTACACTATTGCAATCCAATATGCCAAGTGTACACTATTCTAATCAAATGTGCCACATGTTCAATATTCTCTTTTCAATTCATATATTCATTTATCTATTCATCATAGTATTAAAAAGAATTTGTAGTTAAGAATTAAATTAAATATTCAAAATAAATAATAATAATATTACGATTTTTTTAAAAACCAATAATAATAATAATAATAAATAATAATATTAATATTAATATTTTTTGACAGATTATTAATATTAATTAAAACTTATAATAATATTACATAATATTAAAAAAAAATATTGATTGGATAATTTTAACAAGAAATTGTAGGGTTTTTTTTTTGTTCTTTTTTTTTTTTTTTTGAGAAGGAAATTGTAAGATCTAATCGATATCATATATTCATATGCAAGCAATATTACGATTAATCATCTTGCCGCATTAAAGCTTTAACTTTCGATATTACAAACACTAAAGCTTTGACCTTCCACCTGTTCAATTTAGAGGACATAATCATTTTCCTTTTTATTTTTTATTTTTTTGGTATGAGACACATAATCATCTTCTACCTTTATTACCATTTTACTACACATCAATTTATAATTTATAATATGGATTATTTGCCAACCCACAACTCTTCCTCTTCATAATCCCCTAGCTGCTCATCAATGTTCATCAGCAAATTAAGCCCACAACTCTTCCTCTTCATCTCCCCTCCTCAATTCCCACAAATTAAATTTCTTAAAACATGTTTTCGGTTACAAATTTCGCCCATAATTATAATAATGATAATAATTTTTGGGTATTTATTCACTCATCTCTTGATGCAATATTCACTCTATATAACATAGTACCTCCATCATTAAGTTCAAATGTAGATTGACATTCACATTTGGTGAGTGATTATTATCTTGTGCTTTTTTTTTAAAAAAATAATTTTTATTATTTTTTCTTATTATCGTAGAATTAATATTGAAACCCCAATTAACAAAATTGGGAAATTGTTGTAGGCTTTTGTAGAGAGCTTGATGCAAATGGAAGGTGGTAGCTTGAGGTAAAGCTCTTTGGTAATTATTCTAATATTTGGTATAAGCTTTAACATTTTTGGGAATTGAAGTTGTGTGTGAATTTTAAATCAGTTTTGTTTGGGATTGTTCTCAACTTTACCTGTTTTGCCCAAACTCTGGTTCTTGATAGCATTATTGTTCTCAATTTTATGGACTCTGCTGTTCTTGATAGCATTATTAGCAGATTGCTTGATGTTAAGGGTAAACCTGGTAAACAAGTTCAGATTTCACAAAGCCTACTCAATTTATATATTGTTGTTCACCAATTTAGCAATATTACACTATATATATTGCTGGTAAACCTGGGTATTTATATATTGATGTTCTTCAATTTAGCAACATTGTACCCTACTCATTAATTGTTGGTGTGTGATGCATAATCATGGAAATGATATTTTTTATTTATTAATTTTTTGAATATTACACTATATGCATTAGCATAATTGTTAACCTTTTACATCTTCAATTGAATTATATTGGGTTTTGCAAAAGAAAATGAAATATGGCAGGAAACACTTCACCATTAGCTTCACAACTTTGCTGGCAAATATCGTTCAATGGTATGGTTTAGCTACACCCCTATATAGACAATACTACAAAGACAAGAAAGACAAGTACAAGGTCTTTGTGAAACTGAGAATGCAAGAAGATGTACCAATCAAAGTGTGTAGTAAACTAAACAAGACTACAGCACTAGCCAGAGAAGACGCGGCTAAACAAGTAGTCAAAGCTTTACAAAAAACTCATAATTTTGACGTACTTGACCTAAACTATGAAGTTTGCATGAAGCAACGGAGGAAAAGGCGTTTAGCTGACATCAAATTAGCCACAGCCGATCTAAATTTTAGTGATCTTAAGCGAAGCTACTTTGAAGTTTGTGACGAGAATAGGATAATCAAACAATATCTACAAAATGTAAAGCATAAACACAAGTAGACATGTACTAAAAAAAAATGCTCATCTGTCAATTAATAAATTATCTACCAAGTTTGTGACTCATGTTTGTCATGTACATGTTTAAAGTTGTTATAGTAAAATTTAATATATATATATATATATATATATATATATATATATATATATATATATATATATATATATATATATATATATATATATATATTCTATTAACATAGCTTTTCTGACCATTAACTGGGTACTCACAATGTGCCCCTTTATATCTTCATGTCAAATGAATTGCACGGACTAATTTTGGTGATTAAATTGTACACAGTTAACAATGTATCTTTGTACTGGAGACGCTGCGAGGCAAGCTCGATTGTTAAGAAAGCATATACTTACCCAAAGGAGAAATAGGAAAGCATCCTTGGACCATGCTAGAAGACACACGATTGGACTCAATAAAATTGGTATCTCTAAACTACAATATTATCACTTTTATAAACAGGAAGTTGTGTTCTATAAATATGTATTCATTTTCATTTTTAGCTTCTTATAACATATTTATATATTGTTAATAGTATAAATTATTCCTATGTATTCTGCACAAGGCTTTCAATATAACATAAGAATAATTTATTGACTGCATCCATGATCTAAGGTAACCTGAAATCTGTCAGCCATTTATGCAGACTTTAGATTAACATGAAATCTGCTAACAATTTATGCAGACTTCAGATCAATGGATCCTAGATATTCTGCTAGACACGCTCGGCTATTAAGAACACATATACTTGCAGAAAGGAAAAAACAAGTGGCATCAACCATAACACAGTCCTCGGATGGTGCTACAAGAATAAGCAGACCATCCTCAGAGCATGTTAGAAGAGCCACTACTAGATCTAATTTGAGTGGTAAGTGCCAACACCAAGTTTGAGAAGAGTAAGAGCTGAACAACCACATTTTTATTGCTATAGATCATTAAGAAAGTATGGCTAAAGGTAATTGCTTTAATTAACCAAATCCCCACTATATATAAACCTAAAGTAGAACTTGCTTATGTTGCCCACATTTAAACTTCAGTAGCAAAACTTTAATTTGACCTAAAACACTGTATATAAGCCTTTCTGGTTAACAATTTAACTTTTAGTTTAACAAAGTCAGAATTTAATTAGTAAAGAACTAGAGTTTACATGGAATAGGTAACCAATTTATGCAGGTTTCACAATGCGAGATCCTAGAGAAAACGGCAAACAAGCACGACTATTAAGAAAGCATATTATTGCCCAAAGGAAAAGGCGTCCTGTAACAATCTCAAACTCTGCTACAAGAACCATGACCAGAGACAGTGTAGTTGGTAATGCTCTAAGACCTTAAAAATTAATATCCTATAAGTTGAACAATTGCTAATAATTGTGAATTGTATATTAGATGACCCATGCAGTTCAACAAGTATACCATCTATTCCAAGTAAGGGGAAAAAACGTTCCCGACAGATTGACAATGAACAATTTGACATACCAATGGCACTCCCAACAAATGGTGAACATACAAGTGAGTACACTAAGTGTCGCTTCTAAAATCATATTGTGTATTACAATTACAACTTCTAAATAATTTAATGCACCTTCATAATTCTGAAGGAAAATACACCCAGCCTTGGAGTTTTGGCGGCCCAACAGGCAGATGCTCGGATTGTGAAGCTATTGTTTGGTTTGAGGAACGAGCAAGGAAAGATAGAAACAGCAAATCTCCAAAATACAGCATATGTTGTCAGAAGGGAAAGGTGAAGCTACCCCTATTAAAAGACCCACCTGAGTTCCTAAAAGAGCTTTTGAACTGTAATGACCCAAGATCAAAACAATTCAAAGATAGAGGAAGGGTGTATAACTCAATCAATGCTTTCACTTCAATGGGTGGAAAGGTAGATAACACCATCAACCGAGGAAATGCACCATATGTGTTCAGGCTAAATGGCCAGAACCACCATAAGATTGGGTCATTACTTCCTCCCGAAGGCAAGCAACCGAGATTCAGCCAGTTATATATTTATGACACTGAAAATGAAGTGGAAAGCAGGATCCACAGCATTGGAAATGGCGAAAGCACTCCAGATTTGGACCCTGAAATTGTTGCAGGATTATCAAAAATGTTTGACAAGCATAACCAGCTAGCTAAGGTGTTTCGAATGGCAAGGGAAAGGTTTGCTGAGACTGATTTACAACCGGTGAAGATCAGATTAATAGGAACAAGGGCCAAAGATGGCAGGCAATATAACCTGCCCAGTGCCTCTGAAATTGCAGCATTAATAATTAGAACAGGTGATGCTGAAAAAGGACCTCGCGATGTCATAATTGAAGACAAACATTTTGGCTTGAAAAGGATATCAGAACTTGACCCGAGTTTCATGGCAATGCAATATCCATTACTATTTCCATACGGAGAAGATGGATATACAACAGATATCCCACACAATGATGTAGATGCAACTGGGAGAAGGGTGCGGACAACTGTCACAATGAGAGAATATTATGCATTTCGCTTCCAACAGAGAGAAAGGGAGGCAAAAACAAGATTCCAATTGGGAAGATTGAATCAACAACAACAAGTTGATGCCTTCACATGCGTGCAAGAAAGTAGATTAGAATGGGTAAGAGGAAACCAAAAAAAAATTCGCAAGGATGTCCTACGTGGATTAGCCGATGCAGTTTCACGAGGGGATACCGAACCAGCATCGATAGGTCAGCGTGTTGTGCTGCCACAATCATTTTCTGGTTGCCTCAGATTCAATGTCCAAAATTACCATGATGCCCTAGCAATTTGCAGATGGGCTGGCCCTCCAGACCTCTTCATCACAATGACATGCAATCCAAAATGGCCAGAGGTTAAAGATTTCTTATCTTTGATTCCAGGACAGAAACCTGAAGATCGACCTGATATCATTGCTAGATTGCTTAAGATCAAGCTTGATGAGTTAATTGATGACCTTACAAAAAAAATCTCTGTTGGCGGACAAAAGCAGGTTAATAAAAAATAACATTCAAATGGGGCATTTGTTCAATCTTTACTAACCTGACAATCAACTATCCTTCTTTGTGTTTTATAAATTTATTAAACGCATACAAATTAAAGTTTATAGTAGTATAGTGCACCAACTATCAATCAATATAATTTAAGCCAAGTCTAAGCGGTTCATTAAAATACTTGCATTTGGTATACAAAGACTGCAATTTTTAATGTAAAATTACCTCTTCATATGTATTAAAGAACTTAAAATATTGACATACACTCACACCTTCTTTTGGTTTTCGCAGTAATATATACAATAGAGTTCCAAAAGAGAGGACTACCACATGTTCATATGTTGTTATTCCTCCATGAAGCTGACAAACTGAAAACTCAAACAGATATTGACAGATTGATTTCAGCAGAATTACCAGATACAGAAAAAGACCACATCGCATTTGAGGCAGTAGTTCAATACATGACACATGGACCATGTGGGGCCTTGAACCCAAAATGTCCATGTATGCAGGGAGGACGGTGTTCAAAATACTACCCTAAAAATTTCAATAGTGAAACATCAATTGGCGAGGACGGATACCCAATTTACCGGAGGAGAAATGATGGAAGGACAACAACAAAGAATGGCATCACAATTGACAATACTTTTATTGTGCCATACAATGTTGACTTGCTGGTAAAGTACCAAGCACACATAAATGTGGAGGTGTGCAACAAATACACATGCACCAAATACCTCTTCAAATACATGAATAAGGGCCCAAATATGGCAACTGCAACAATACAACAACAAAGTGAAGGGTCAAGCATTCAACAACAACCACAGAGGGATGAAATAAAAACATATTTGCAATGCAGATATGTTTCAGCTGCAGAGGCGTGCTGGAGAATGTTTGGATTTGAAATACAATATAAACAACCACCCGTCGAACGCCTCAGCTGTCACCTTGAGGATGAACAAATAGTAATGTTTGAAGATCATGAGCTGCTAGATGATGTCCTTGACAGAGTGGGACAAGCAAAAACTCCTCTCACCGGATGGATGGAAGCCAATCGAAAATACAAAAAAGCACGGACCTTAACCTTCCATGAATTCCCCACTGAATGGGGATGGCTAAAGAAGGAAAAGAAATGGAAGGAGAGAGATCGAGGGTTCAAAATTGGCAGAATATACTTTGTGCTCCCAGCATCCGGGGAGCAATATTACTTGCGTATTCTTTTAAATATTGTTAAAGGAGCAACTTGCTTTGCAGAAATAAGAACTGTCAACGACGTCGAATTCAGCACATTCAAGGAAGCATGCAATGCTTTAGGGCTTCTAGAAGGGGACAATGAATGGCACGAAGCACTACAAGCTGCACCAACCTGGGCAACTGCACCACAATTAAGAGACTTATTCGTAACATTATTGATTTTCTGTGAGGTCACAAATCCAACAGAACTATGGGAGAAGAATTGGGAGATGCTAGCAGATGATATCCTATATCGACAACAAAAGAGATTGGGTACAAGAAACATTGTGCTGACAACAAACCAGTTGCAAAATTACGCACTACATGAGATAGAATTGAGCCTCAACAGAAATAATCGAAGCCTGAGGAATTATGCCAACATGCCATACCCAGACATATCTTTGGTACAACAATCCTCAAACAGGCTTATACTCGAAGAGCAAATGCATGATGTGGGCACACTAGCAAACCAGGCATCTCATTTGGAAGCAGGTCTGAATCCAGAACAAAATGATGTTTACCAACAGATACTTCAATCCGTCAATTCAGAAACAGGAGGAGTCTACTTTATATATGGAAGCGGAGGTACAGGGAAGACATATTTATGGACTACCTTAATATCAAAACTACGATCAGAGGGACAAATAGTGATTGCAGTTGCTTCCTCTGGGATTGCAGCTCTACTACTCCAGTGTGGAAGAACAACCCATTCACGGTTCAGCATCCCGATAAATTTGAATGAAATTTCGTGTTGTAGGATAGCCCAGGGTTCCGACTTGGCAAATCTCCTGCAAAGGGCAAGCTTAATAATATGGGATGAAGCCCCCATGATTCATAGACATGCTTTTGATGCAGTAGATCGCACTTTGCGTGATATCATGCAAACTGAAAACGCAAACTCTGGTGACAGACCTTTCGGAGGCAAAACAGTCGTACTAGGAGGAGATTTTAGACAGATACTACCTGTGGTCCCACGAAAAGGCAGGGGAGTAGGGGTGGGACTTTTCAAACCGAACCGTGAAATCGTCCGTTACCGAACCGAATCATCACGGACCGAACCGTTTATAACCCGCTAATTTTAAACCGAAAACCGAACTGAACCGTATAATGTCAAACCGAAACCGAACCGAACCAATTAATGTTAACCCGTTACGAACCGTAAACCAATAACAAACCAAACCGTTTATAAACCGAAACCGTTTGAACCGATTAATGTTAACCCGCTAACTGTTTAAACCGAACCGTTTATAAACCGAAACCGTTTAAACCGTAGGAAAAAACCGTTTAAATCGAAACATTTACAACCCGCTAACCGTTTAAACCGAACTGTTATAACCCATTAAACCGCTTAAACCGAACTATTTTCAAACCGCAACCCGTTTAAACCGATCCGATTACAAACTATTTAAACCGAACTGTTTACAACCCGTTCCATTCAAATTGAACTATTTACAGCCTTTAACAATTTGTTAGAATTCCACGAAATATATTTGATGTTTAATGTAATTTAACAGTACAATTTTTTTTACATATAATTATTGATTTAAATTTATAATTTTTTTTGCTATTATAAAATTAAAATTATATTCTTGTATAACTAAATTAGGAGTTATAAATTAAATAAAAAATGAAAAAATTTGGCCACCCACCCACCACCGTAACCCACCCTAACACCACCCCCGCCGTCACCCCAGACCCACCCTAACACTACCCCCCACCCACCACCGTTACCGTAACCCACCCCCACCCCACCACCGTTACCGTAACCCACCCCCACCCCACCAACGTCAACCCAGACCCACCCTAACACCACCCCCGCACCCACCATAATTACCGTAACCCACCCCACCACCCACCGTAAATAAAAAAACCCAGACCCAAACCTTACCCCACCCCATCCACCACCGTCACCGTAAATAATTAAAACCCAGACCCATACCCCACCCCACCTACCACCATCACCGTAACGTACCCCACCCCACCCCACCCCACCCACCACCGTCACTGTAAAAAAAAAAAAAAAAAAAAAAAAAAAAAAAAAAAAAAAAAAAAAAAAACCAGACCCAACCCCAACCAGACCCACCACCGTCACCGTAACACACCCCACCCCACCCCATACAAAAAAATCGAAAAAAAAACCCAAACCCACCGTAACCCCACCCCACCCACCCCCACGAAACCCAACATCCTCGAAACCCCCCAACTCACTCTAATTGCTCACCCACCATAAAACTCCCTCCCTCCCTCGAAAAATCCTCCCTCCCCACCCACCCGAACCCAGTCTAACCGCCGCCGCACCCACCCTAACTCGGCCCCCTCCGTTGCCCACAACTTGAAAAAAATTAAAAAGAAAAACAGAAAATAAAAAAAGGAAGAACGAAAACACCTTATATATTAATCCTGAATTTGGCCTCGAATTTGGTTTTAAAAGGCAAAATTCGATCATGAAACAACTAGATCTAGAGTTTCGTGGTCGAATTTGACCATAAAAACCGTCGTGCGTGGTGCCGGTGGACGGAGACGGAGAAACGAGATGGAAGAAAGGAGAACATAGACGGAAGAAGGGAGAAGAAGGAAGAAGAAGAAAGGAAGAAGGAAGAGGAGATGAGAGAGAAAACGAGAGAGCAGTGAGCATATTAACAGCCATGGCTTCAAAAAATTGATAATATTACAGAAGAGGATTAAGAAAACGAGAGAGAAATCAAAAAGAGTACTAAAGAGACGATGGTAAGAGTGATCTGATTGGTGGAAAAGAAAACACACGGATCGTGAATTGGAATGTGTGCGATGATAGGCCGTTAGATGACATGCAAATCAATGGCTGGTATTTAATATAAGACGGTGACACGGATCATGGGATAATGGATTTGGATAGTATGTTTTTTTTTATTCATAGCTACGTACTAATAAAAACACTACTGTACTCTTAACTTTATGTAACTTATAAATTGTAAGAAACACAAATGTTTGGAAATTGGAATTGATTCAATATGACATATTTAATGTATATTAGTTATATGTATATCAGTATATGTAATAAATAATAATGTATGGTACGATTGGTATCATACTATCATTGGTATGTATAGATAATCGATAAATGTATCTGATTATTAAAACTTAAAACAGTTGATGATCGATCTAATTGATTCTACTTCCCCACCTGTTTTCTTTAACTTGCAAGTTGCAACATATATATGTTGCAGCCTTGTAGGCACGTAATCTTAAAAGGTGATTAGAGAGGGTAAGACAACAAAGTAATTCAGCAATATAATTTTAACACCAAAATTATGGAATAGTTACAAACAATTGTCAATTATTATTTTATTAGACTAATGGGAAATTGAATAATCGTGATTTTAATTAAACATCCAAATATAGTTCCGTAACATTAAATTATTAGTTTATTACAATATCAATTATCGATTTATTGTATTCAAAGTACCAATTCATCAAATCATGGTTATGACGCGATCTTTAAAACAATTAAAACAAGAAGCTGATAGCCTGATAATATTTGATAATGAAACAATAATACATTAATACCTTATAAATTTGTAATAGACTAATATTTAATAAACAACAACAAGACTATAACCAAATTTGAAACATAACACATTAACATGATATAGAATGAATGAGAATTTCTGTAATTCTATATAATCTGATATCTGAATCGATTTATCGTATTCAAAGTAACAACTCATCAAAACATGGTCATGACACGATATCTAAAACAATCCAACAAGAAGATGATAACCTAATAATATATATTTAATAATGAAACAATAATACATTAATACATTATAAATTTGTAATAGACTAATATGATAATATCGAATAAACAACAACAAGAGTATAACCAAACTTGAAACATAACATATTAACATGATATAGAATAATTGAATAAATGAAGATTTGTGTAATTGTATATAATCCGATGTCTGAAAATAAAGTGACGAAGTCCCAACTTTATATAAAACGAAAATAGCTAACCGGTAAAAAATCTCTTAAAACCCAATTTCTACTCGATCCATTATTTTTTTCACCAACCTATGCCGACCCGCTAATGAAATGGAAATACTAGTCCCAACTTGATATAAAACAAAACGCGCTAACTGGTCAAAACCACTTTTTAGAACTCGATTTCAACCCGATCCAATTTAACCGATTACCAAACTAACCCGAACGATTTTAGCACCAAACCGAGTATAAACCGAACCGATATGAATCGAACTAGCATTAACCCGGGTAAACCCGCCCCTGAACCGACCCATTTCAAAATAATCCGTTCATGACCCGAACCGATATGAACCCGGACCGACGTTGACCCGGTAAAACCGCCCCTGAACCGATCCGTTTCAAACCGGTCAGATCATGACCCGAACCGTTTAAAAACCGAACGGGCATTGACCCGGGTAAATCCGCCCCTGAAGCGACCCGTTTCTAACCGATCTGATTATGACCCGAACTGTTTATAAACCGAACCGTTTATGACCCGAACCGAATTTAAATCGTACAAAAATAAACCGAAACCGAACCGACCTGTGACTAATCAAAACCGAACTGAACCGACCCGCCGTCTAAATGAAACCGTTTTAACCCGAACCGTTTCAAACCGAAACCGTTTCAAACTGAGGTCAAACCGAACTGCCAGACCGAAGTCCCACCCCTACAGGGGAGATATAGTTGATGCATCTATTAGTAGATCAGCGACAATATGACCTTATTGCACTGTGTTAAAGCTTACAACAAACATGAGATTGAGGGGAAGCACATCCGTTGTAGGACTACAACAAATGCAAGATTTTAGCAACTGAGTTCTAGATGTGGGTGACGGAAAATTACCAACCACAAGAAAACACGGGGAAGATGAAGCCACTTGGATACAAATACCAAGTGATTTGTTGCTACAACACCATGAAGACACAAAAGCAGCCCTTGTGAATGAAATATACCCCGACATTCAAAACAGATGTACAGATGTAGCATATCTTGCTGAAAGGGCAATCCTAGCACCTAAAAACGAATGTGTAGATGATATCAATAACTACATACTCTCGATGATTAATGCAGAAGGAGGAGTATATAAAAGTGTTGACAGAGTTAGCCCCCTCACAAATACATCAGCAGTAGATGAAGACTTATACCCCATAGAATTTCTAAACACACTGCAATTTCCAGGCATCCAAAATCACGAAATACGACTAAAGGTAGGCTGCCCAATAATCTTACTCAGAAACATTAGCCAAGTGGAGGGATTGTGCAATGGCACCAGGCTCATTATAACACGGTTGCATCCAACTGTGATTGAAGCACAAGTAGTGACAGGATCAAATGTTGGAAAAAAAGTGCCCATTCCTCGAGTAGAAATGTCACCGTCAGACCACACATTGCCGTTCACTATGAAGCGCAGACAATTCCCGGTGAAGGTATGCTTCGCAATGACAATAAACAAAATTCAAGGCCAAACATTTGATCGAGTCGGTGTATATTTACCGGAACCTGTGTTCAGCCATGGCCAACTGTACGTTGCCGTATCTAGAGTCACATGTCGATCAGGCTTACGAATTTGTATAGGATCCAATGGAGACACTACGGAAGATTCCTCAATCACAAAGAATGTCGTATACTCTGAAATTTTCGACAACTTATAGATAAACAATATATATTGTAACTATTTATTATGCAAAAAATAATAGATGAATTGTTAAAAGAAGTGACAATTTCAATAGCTTCCCATGTATCACATACAAATCAATATAATATCTAGATCTCAATAAAATCAGCAATAGATTCCTCTGTACGCCCATTCAAATTCTTAACAACTACATAGATACATGGAAATTAAATTACAATACCCAGATGCAATAACCAACAACACTCCAGAGGTACAAACACAAATTTTATTAAAAAAAAAAACGCCTGTACAACTAAAAACCAAAACTAAAAATATAGATTCAAATTCCTTGAAAAAGGAGAAGTTTAAACTTTATAATTACAATCACAATTTAATAACATTAAAAAAAAACCATATAGTAAGAAAAAAAAAAACCGAAACATTAAATATACACAT